AAAAAAAAAAAAATCACCTGCTACAACAAATAATAAAAGGGTCAATTAGTTTCAAACATGGATGACCCCAATTGGACATAATAAACACGTATTGTATGAATAAATTACTTAATTTTTATCATATTTTTTACACAATCCATGTAAAATAAGAGGTTTTTTTCTCGTAGTTGAGCTGACCGGTATGATAATTAGAAATCCAATATTAAAATCCATTCTCTATCAACCAAAGTTGTTTCTCGTAAACCAAAAATTCATTGAACCCCAAAATGACAAGATTATCGGGCAGCACTATTACCGCCCCTAATATAAACACACAAATCACACACATGCGCACACAAATTAAAGAGTCAATTGGGTATAGAGGAATACCTGTTGCTGATGCGAAACGGGGGCATTTGGAAGAGTCCACGAGCTTGAGAGAGAGGCGCTGACATGGGGCTTGGGAAGTCAGGGAGGTGAGGAGTGAAGAATGGGGTGAGAGAGAAGGCGAGTGAAGTGAGGAGGTCACGGCGGTTGATGGGTTGGAAGCAATTTTGTGGGTATTTGGGGTTTGAAGGTGGAGGAAGAAACGGACATGGCGGAAGGCCTATGTTGGAGACAAAGACTGTTGGCATTATTCAACGACCAAGTGAACTGAATTCTACAATTTTGAGTAAGGTGTGTGNATATGACATAAATGATACAATATTTAACTAACAGATTGAAGTTTTATTTATTCCGAATTTAACTACCAATTATGACTTAACTAATATCAAAGAATTTTAACCACGTATATTCCAACAATAAAAAACCATCTTTAAATGCCGACATCTAATGGACCACTTCAAATCAGCAGGGTACATTGTCCACAGCCTAGTCCAATGCCCCCGGTTCATTTAGATCCAGATATTTGAAAAGTACATTGAGAGATTGAACTGTCCTCATGCACACTGTTGTTTTGCTCAACAATTACTTAGAAAAAGAGATTATCCCACTAGCTATAGTATTTGGCAAGCTCTGCAATGGTAAATTGGAGTCATCTTCCTTTCTAATACAGGTGAAAACCCNTGTGTGTGAGAGAGAGAGAGAGAGAGAGAGAGAGAGAGAAGAGGGGGGAAGGGGGGTTGAACACTTGGGTTGGGTAATTCCATTCTTTGGCTAAGAGAAATATCTTTGTTATATTATATTGGCACCCCCAAATATAAGTCAAAATAATATAGTGACCTCTAAATATTTCAATAATAAACGAATTATATCGTATATTTCTTTTAATTAACTTCACATATTTATGAAATCGGTGTCTTAAAGAAAATTCAAACTTTTTAACTTTCGTACAATCGAGTGAGGTGTTTCAATGGAGTATTGACTGAACTTTTCGCCTTAAAATTGAAGGTTGGATTATTGGAGTTTACATTGGGACCCAGTTGTTGATAGCTATGATAGCCTAGTTAGGTTCATTTCTAAAATGTGTAACAGATGCAGTTAGGCACCTCATGATTCCACGAGTAAATCCCAATCGGAATGGTCTTTGGGTCCTCTCCTTTGCCACCACCAATTTTTTCAAAAAAAAAAAAAAAACCCTCTTACTTCGTATCTTATTTTGATACCCTTAATTGTAATAGAAAGATCTCACTCGTCACAAAAAAAAAAAAAATATCAGCAAAATATATAAAAGCTTCTATTATATTTTGATTTTTTTATACAACCTCGTGCAAAACATCGTATACTTAGAATTTAAAAGCTTGTTTTTTTTTTCCTAGGTTCCAAATCGAGCATATTCTTAATTTAAGAGTATATATATATATATATATATATATATATATCGATTCGAAAACAACAAGCTTTTTTGAGAAGAAGAGTGATCAGATAATGGGAAATCCTAATTACAATCAAAAGATAAAAAAACATTAAGCTCGAGAGGAGGATAGCACACCCAACTCAAAGGAATTGAGTTAGAGAGTGTAATGGCTGCCATCCAGTGAACTGCTCTGCTAAGAGCCCTAGGCTTGTGTACAAATATTAAATTAAGATCTTTAGCAAAACGCCTAATATCACTAACAAAGGCACTTATTTCCCATGGGGGAATATTTTCAGTTGAACCCAGCTTGATCACCTCCAAATTGTCACTTGCAATAGTCATGTTTCGTAACTCAGATGCACTGCCCAACAAACACGCATCATGAAAAGCAACAGCTTTTGAAAATCGACTGGAAATAGCCGAAATATGCTTGTTAATACCAGCCTCCAACGTCTCATTATAGCCTTTAAGAATCACCCCTACAGCTACCTTACCCTTCTTAAAAGCACCATCACACCACAAAGAAATGAGCTGAAACAATTCTGGACTATTCAAGTTGAGATGAGACGAACCAAACTGATGCCCCACCTACCTCCTTATAGCAGCACTGAAAGTCTTAGACCATAAACGCTAAGACCATATCAAAGTGACAAGGGCATTAGGAAGTTCATGATTAAACACAAACTTATTGCTAGAATTCCAAATGGCCCAATCAATCACAGCCACACGCCCCATAAATTCAAAAGAATCTGAAATTTTCTTGAAATTTTCCAGTAAAATCGAAACTCACATTAAGACCGAGACACAAGCTCCCTGCTCCAATCTCAACCCCAAGTTAGACCCAAACCAAACCTTCTTTGTCCATTCACACTCAAAAAGAATATGCTCGATAGATTCAATATTATCACCACATATAAGACACCAAGGAGAATCAACACACTTTCTTTTAAATAGATTCTCACGTGAGGCCACAACATTGTTACAAACTATCCACCCAAAATGTTTGATCTTAGGCATGGCTATCATATTCCATACAACAGACCAGAGTTTGGGGTGAGGAGAAAAAGAGGAGCAAGGAAGAGATGCAGAAGAAGGCAAAAGACTAACAACAAGTGAATAACCAGACTTAATCGAATACATACCTGTAGAAGCCAGTCTCTAAACACCCCTATCAACACCAGGAAATCTTGGAATAAGAATAGCTAGAATAGCCTTACACTCCTGCGCATTAAGGATCCCTCTGATGAGCCCAGCATTCCATTCCCTATTGTGTTGAGAGATAAATTGATTAACCCAAAGTATATTACAGTCTCGAGGTCTAGGAGAACGCACCGCTCTGTCTTCAAACTGGAGAATCCACTTATCCTCCCAAATACTAATCTCATTGCCTTCCGAAACTTGCCACAAAAGACCTATTTCAAGAAGATCTCTTTCCTTTAGCAGACCATTCTAGACCTAAGAAAGCCTCGCCCCCATTTTAGCCTTCATGAAAGTCACCATCAGGAAAGTAAATAGACTTGATGAATCTTGCCCAAAAGGAATCAGGATTTTGAATTAATCTCCAACACTGTTTAGCAAGTAATGCCTGATTAAAGAGATGAAACTCTTTGAAACCCAACCCCCCTCTAGCTTTTGCTTCCATCATCCTATCCCAACTTTTGCTGCAAATTCCTCTCTTATCCCCTCCATCCCCCCACCAAAACCTCCATACATACATTTTAATCTTATCACAAAAAGATTTAGGGAAAACAAGGACTGACATAGCATAATTTGGAATTGATTGGATGACTGCCTTGATTAAAACTTCTTTGTCAACTGGAGACAGAAACAAACTCTTCCACCCTTGCAGTTTCTTCAAAATTCTCTGAAGAAGGTAACCAAATGATTCACCCTTTGCATTACCATACAAAAAAGGCAAACCCAAATATTTAGTCCCTCTGTCCAATGGCCTTAACCCAACAGTTGACTAAACAAAAATTTTTGCTCATCCGTGGCATTTGCAAAGTCCTTGCCAATAGAATGAAAGGTTTGATGTCTTCTATCGTTTATCCGCAACAAGCTGCTTTTGTTCCTAATAGGCAAATTCAAGATAGCATTATCATTGCAAATGAGGTTCTCCATTTTATGAGGCTAAAAAAGAAAGGTAAGGTTCCAAACTTGGCAATCAAAATGGATATCAGTAAAGTATATGACAGAATTAAATGAGACTTTTTGGAGGCGGTGATGCTTAAGTTGGGATTCTCTCCCAGATAGGTGCAGCTAATTATCCAAGGTATCAGTACTGTGAGTTTTCAGATAATTATTAACGGGGAGAAACATTACAAGGTCTTCCCATAGAGAGGTATTCGGCAAGGGGACCCTATTTCTCCTTATCTATTCATTATGGTTGTTGATGTTTTGTCATCTATGTTAAAAAAAAGGGGTGGAAGAGAGAAAATTTTCGGGTGTCAAAGTGCGAAGAGGTAGCTCTGCTATTTCCCATCTTTTATTCGCGGACGATTCTTTCTTCTTTTTTAAAGCAAAGGTTCAGGATATTTCTGATGTCTAGGGTGTTCTTAATAGGTACTATTCTGCCTCTGGACAGTTTTGCATTACCATACAAAAAAGGCAAACCCAAATATTTAGTCCCTCTGTCCAATGGCCTTAACCCAGCAGTTGACTAAACAAAAATTTTTGCTCATCCGTGGCATTTGCAGAAAATATAATACCTGATTTTTTGTGATTCAAGCACTGTCCAGAGGCAGAATAGTACCTATTAAGAACACCCTAGACATCAGAAATATCCTGAACCTTTGCTTTAAAAAAGAAGAAAGAATCGTCCGCGAATAAAAGATGGGAAATAGCAGAGCTACCTCTTCGCACTTTGACACCCGAAAATTTTCTCTCTTCCACCCCTTTTTTTTAACATAGATGACAAAACATCAACAACCATAATGAATAGATAAGGAGAAATAGGGTCCCCTTGCCGAATACCTCTCTATGGGAAGACCTTGTAATGTTTCTCCCCGTTAATAATTATCTGAAAACTCACAGTACTGATACCTTGGATAATTAGCTGCACCTATCTGGGAGAGAATCCCAACTTAAGCATCACCGCCTCCAAAAAGTCTCATTTAATTCTGTCATATGCTTTACTGATATCCATTTTGATTGCCAAGTTTGGAACCTTACCTTTCTTTTTTAGCCTCATAAAATGGAGAACCTCATTTGCAATGATAATGCTATCTTGAATTTGCCTATTAGGAACAAAAGCAGCTTGTTGCGGATAAACGATAGAAGACATCAAACCTTTCATTCTATTGACAAGGACTTTGGAAATCACCTTATATAAAAAATTGCATAACGCAATAGGTCTAAACTGAGAAAGCTTTTCAGGCGACTCATCCTTAGGAATAAGGACTATATTTGTCTTGTTCAGGTCCTTCAACATGAATCCCCCGTCAAAAAAACTCTTTACAACCCTACCCACTTCATCCCCCACAATATGCCAATAAGAATGGAAGAACATACCAGGAAAACCATCAGGAGCCGGGGCCTTAAGAGCTCCTAATTACATGGCTGCCTTCTTGACCTCTGCATCTTGGATCGGATGAAGCAGTATAACATTCATCTCCTCTGAAATCTTCCTTTCCGCAGATCCCAAAACCTTGACAATATCTCTTTGCCCCACTGTAGAGAACAAATCATGAAAATATTGTTTAATGTGGTCATTCAACTCCGCCTCATCATCAATCCATGCAGCCTCATCAATGTTTAGCCGTAAAATATGATTGAGCCTCCTTCACTGAATAGTCGAAAGATGAAAGAATCTTGTGTTCTGATCCCCAGACAACAACT